TTTTATACCATGGTGAACGCCACTCCTAGAAACGTGTTCCACCATGAACAAGACCCACTTATCTCTGTGGTATGTTTTTATACCATGATGAACGCCACTCCTAGAAACGTGTTCCACCATGAACAAGACCCACTTATCTCGATAGTATGTTTTTATACCATGATGAACGCCACTCCTAGAAACGTGTTCCACCATGAACAAGACCTACTTATCTCGATGGTATGTTTTTATACCATGGTGAACGCCACTCCTGGAAACGTGTTCGACCATGAACAAGGCCCACTTATCTCGATGGTATTTTTCATATCATGATAAATTCCACTTCTAGGATGGTGCTCCACCATGAAGAAGACCCCTTCTAGGATAACACTTTACCTTGACACCTTTTCTTTGAGTCGTGTGATCGATCATTGTGATAATGGTGTTCGTTTGACCGAAGTGTTGTCTATATATTCCACTTTCTCCTTACATTGGTTTAGGCATTTCTTTACGCTTAAAGAACTGTTTTAGTTGTGCCACAAAATTTAAGACCTAACTAACATACAGGGACATTTCTATACGTTAAAAACCTCTTATAAATCTGTGATCCATTATGATTTACAGTCTCTTCGAGCCTTGTTCCACCGTAATAAAATCCTTTCAAGGATTAAGTTTCATTGTAATGAGTATCTTTTATGGGTCACTATAATGAAGACTTTTCCGCGCTCGTATTTCATTATAATAAACGTATTTTCTGGGCATCACTAAGCAAAGTTTTATATAAAAATAGGAATAGTAGTCTTAGAAAGACGTCACAAGAATCTTGTTGTTTTTTTGAAAAAGTGTTTAAAAAACTCGCCAAAATATGTAATCACATGAAACCATATTATGCTAGCCTCATTATTTTCTTGAAGAGCTGACTTTTGTAGTTGTTTATGATGCTTTATATTGTATTTTATTTTGGTAGAATATATTTTTTTATATATTTGTTTTATTTAGAGCAAAGCCACATTAGGCTATCTGCTGTGTCCACTGCGGGAAATCGATCCCCGGATTTTAGCGTTGTAAGTCGGTAGACTTACTGCTGCCCCACTGGGGGACTGTATATTTGTATAATGTACAATTGTCCTTGTTTTCTCAATTCTGTAATTATAGAGTTTCACCAAGTACCGACTGTTTAAAGTTTTAATTATGTACATTTTTCTATTTTAAAGATGTTTTAACATAAACCTTATTTATGTAAATGATTATTTAATTATTGTATAAGGCTAAGTTTTAACATATTGTAATACCACATTCTGAAGAGATGAGCTCTCTCTTCCAACCTTCCGCTTGTGTCATAGCTGTAAATTTGAGGCCTTATAACACTAAATATCGAGATTCGATCCCTTCGATGAACACAGCCCATATAGCCCGTTCTGCAGCTATGCCTTAACAACGTCAATAATAAGTCTAGTATTTTCCAATAAGAATTATAGTGATATCATAACTTTATTGTGTTTGGTCCATATTGTAATTTTCTGGTTCCCATAAAACACAAAATAATTTTAAAATAGTTGTGCTGTTCTAACAATAGTGATGCGTATTGGGAACCAAAGGTCCAGATTTTTTTGTCGATAGATTTTGAACACTTTGGAATTCTTTTGCTTGTCTTTATCTCCATTAATAAGACTCAATTATAATTAGTCGAACTATGAGTGATTAAAAAAATAGAAAATAAGAATTAGAGAGAGTAATGGCCTGGTGGTTAGGGCAATCTGGGGTCGTGGGTTCAAATCTCCGTCACCGAACACGCTCGCCCTTTCATCCGTGGGGGCGTTATAATGTTACAAACGGTCAATCGCACTATTCTTTGGTAAAAGAGTAGCCCGAGAGTTGGCGGTGGGTGTTGTTGACTAGCTGCCTTACCTACAGTCTATCACTTCTAAATTATATGAGCATTCAAAATCAATTAAACAATTTTCAGTTTCATAGACACATTGTACTTTTATATAAAAAACAAGAGGGAATCCTCAATAGACGCGGCACTCGAAATTATTTTAGGTAAGAGTATATGAAACTTTTTTTTTCTTTTTATTAGCGTGGAGCGCGCGTTTTCTCGATTCAATTTTATTAATCATCAGGATGTCTACCAGCCTACCCTCAAATTGAAATTATTTTTTATAGGATTAGAATAAATTAATCTATGAGACCTTGGACGTGGTCAAGTACATCAATCGAAAGGGTTTGACCTCCTGAGTCGAAAACTATAATTAGATCTAAATCGGTCAAGAGATGATGGAGCTATGAGCTAAAAGTTTGTACTTGAAAACTGAACACAACTGACTATTTACTGTGAGAACAACAGACTGGTTATTATAGAAACGGAAAAGTTGCGTATAAAAGGCTTTAAGCTACAGTTGTGGCATCGTAACCGATTATTAATGAAATTAAGGACTCTAATGTAAATATAGCTTTACACTCAGCTACAATTCCAAACAAAATATCCAAAGTATGTTGGTCGATTGTTCAACATACAAATAATTTATTAACTTCTGAAGAGAATAATGTCCAACAACAAACTCACATTCTAACAGTTAAGTTGAAATTATTATAAGCGTTTTGTCTTCGCTTCTTCGTCAAACTAAGAATGATTAAGGATTAAAGTTCGATTCCAACTGGTACCTGGAAAAGTCCAATTTGATCATTAAAAACGCTTTGAATTATGAACGGAAGAAATAATTAAATATTGAGCTAAATTATCGCGTGACCTTTTCATCAATAATATGATAGACTAATGAAGGTGTGACGTGTTTGTGAAAAATAAGATATATTATGATGCGAATATGAACACTGAATCGTGGTGTGCCCGGTGCCCCCCCCCCCCCAATAGCCATCAAACTCACTTTTCTACGTTTTCTAAATCTGATGAGAAATGTCGGTGGGGCTGTGTTGTGGAGCGAAATGCCTCGAACACCTTCTAGATTATTGCCACCCCCACTCTAATAGGACCACCCTGCAGATACTACTTGGCGTGCATGGCCCATGAATACTAAATTAGTTTACGTATTGGTGTACATTGTTCATGAACATTAAATTAGATTAAGTTATTGTGTGAATTGTTCGTGAACATTAAAATAGATTAAGTTATTGTGTGTATTGATCATGGACACTAAAATAGATTAAGTTATTGTGTGTATTGTTCGTGAACATTAAAATAGATTAAGTTATTGTGTGTGTTGATCATGGACACTAAAATAGATTAAGTTATGGTGTACATTGTTCATGAACGTTAAATTAGTTTGTTATGGTGTGTGCATTGTTCATGAACGTTATATTAGATTAAGCTATTGTGTACATTGTTCATGAACATTAAATTAGATTAAGTTATTGTGTACATTGTTCATGAACATTAAATTAGATTAAGTTATGGTGTGTATTTATCACGAACATTAAAATAGATTAAGTTATGGTGTGCATTGTTCATGAACGTTAAATTAAATTACGTTATGGTGTGTATTTTTCATGAACATTAAATGAGAATTAAGTTATGATGTGTATTGTTCAAGAACATTAAATTAAATTACGTTATGGTGTGCATTGTTCATGAACACTAAAATAAATTATATTATGGTGTGCATTGTTTATGTACGTTAAATCAGATTACATTATGGTGTGCATTGTTTATGAACGTTAAATCAGATTACATTATGGTGTGCATTGTTCATGAACATTAGATTATAGTGTGGCCTGTTCATGAAAAGTAAAATGATGTGAGATGCTCACGAACACTGAAATAGACTAGGTTATGGCATCTTCTTATTTTGAGATCAGATAAGACAATTGATTGTTTAACCGTGTCATGGAAAACAATGAAAACTAAGGTACAATTCATCTTGTTCATTCTGAATATGCCCCAATTTCAAAGAATAATGAATGAATCACGCCTACTCGTGAATAAACAATTCCCTCTTAAAGAACTTCAAGTTTATACAAAATGTACCAAAAACCAGGAACTTCGGTATACAGAAAGAACTTTAGTTTGTAGAAAAAACATTAGTGAATAATAAACTTCGCTTGGTAAGAGAGTCAGACTTCTCCAGCACCCAGGCTTCACCTTTCCTGAGAGTCAGACTTCTCCAGCACCCAAACTTCATCTTTCCTGAGAGTCAGACTTCTCCAGCACCCAAACTTCATCTTTCCTGAGAGTCAGACTTCTCCAGAACCCACGCTTCATCTTTCCTGAGAGTCAGACTTCTCCAGCACCCAAGCTTCATCTTTTCTGCTTTTGTTTACGTAATGTCTCAATCCTTAATAAATAAAGATAGTTTCTTGTTCATGTTGAATTCAGGCCCGACATGCTCGCCCTTTCAGCTGTGGGGGCGTTATAATGTAACGGTCAATCCCACTATTAGTTGGTAAAAGAGTAGCCCAAGAGTTGGCGGTGGGTGGTGATGACTAGCTGCCTTCCCTCTAGACTTACACTGCTAAATTAGGGACGGCTAGCGCAGATAGCCCTCGTGTAGCTTTGCGCGAAATTCAAAAACAAACAAACATGTTGAATTCAATGAATTTGGTTTCAAGGTTATGTGGATTTAGACTAAAGCCAATAATCCAGCAATAGAGTGAATTTTTTGTAAGGTGTTTTACTAATTCCAAATTGACGACTTTCTGTGAGGTAGCTAATTGCTAATTTGTGTTAATAAAATTGGTTATGTTAAAAGCACCATACTTCAAACATTTATCGTATTTGTTCCTTATTTTGGTGAGGGGTGATTGTCATTATGCTGCTAAATGTAATTTTGTGTCATTAATGGGTTATTCCTCTCATCTATTTATTATAGGTTAATCGATTCATTCTAAGTAGTATCATGTTGTTAATTAATTGAATAAGAATTTCAAACAATTTTGTTACATATCTTTCTTTCAGACCTCAAGAGCAACAAGAAAGGTATATAGATTTCACACGAAAATCCCTCTACTTCATTCACTGAGGAACATATAGGTTAGTGGCTTTTTTTTCCATGGATTATTTCCATACAATGACTTTCCAACGCCTAACTTCATCAAACTGTTCAATCAAAAATGGAGGGTTACCATTTGTTAACTGTTCCTCGCATGTCGTCGCCACCTGCGTTTTCTCTAACTGCACTCAAATCTGGACCTCCTCCGATCCGATTCTTGAAAACATTTCAAACACCATAGAGTATCAGGAATTCAATGGCGGAGTGGATGAGGAATTTGAAGTATTCAGAGAAAGGAGTCGCTTCTGGATTCAGCGAGTCCTGGTGCCAATGATCCTAATCATTGGTCTGATTGGAAACACTGTGACGATCGTGATAATGACCAGGCGGCGCATGCGCTCTTCTACCAATAACTACTTGGCAGCTTTAGCAATTTTTGACATGATGTATCTAATCTGCGTTTTTGGTCTTTCATTGTTTCATTATCCAGGGATCCAGGATCCCCGCTACGTTGTCTACTGGCATATTCGACCCTTCGTTATCATGTTAACAGATGCCTGTAGCAACACATCAGTTTGGTTAACAGTGACATTTACGATAGAGAGGTACATTGCAGTTAGCCATCCAATCAAGGGAAAGATATACTGTACAGAGTCCAGAGCAAAGAAGGTCATCGTTTTTGTGTCATTGATTTGCTTCTTCTTGACCTTGCCAACCCCGTTTGAGTGGACAGTCATCGAAATCACTGACGATGAGACCAACGAGACGACAATCTCGATGGATTTCTCAGATTTTGGAAATAACAATCTCTATAAAACCGTATACTATACCATGACGGCAATCTTATTCGTCTTTATTCCCCTTTTTCTTCTTGCCATATTTAATTCCTTCCTCATTAGGTCGGTTCATCTTTCTAAGATACAGCGGAACACCATGACACATCTCAGAGAGTCGCGAGATTCTCTCCAGCAAGAAAATAAGATCACGGTCATGTTAATTGCAGTAGTGGTGTTGTTCTTCATATCTCAGCTGCCAACAGCAGCAACGTTGGTGTATACATCCTTACATGCAGTTCCTCCTAACACCAACAAAGAAGCTCTTCTTCAAGGACTAGGTAACATCTTTAACTTTCTGGTGTGTATCAATGCGGCAGGAAACTTCGTTTTGTACTGTTTACTCAGTCAGAAGTATCGGAGAACTTTTCTTCAGACTTTCTGTCCGTGCATCAAAAACAAGCTAGTCCGCCTACAGTCCGTTTACCAGAGATCTGCCTATAGTAATGTCAACGATAATTCGCAGCTGTCCAGAAATACGGTGGTTCGGCGATCCAATCAAAGCAGAGCTGACAGCAAAACACTTGGAACCAACGGAGAAGGTGAGTCAAAAAAACACGATTTTTCGGATGCCTCTAGCAATAAGTGGAGAGCTGAAGAAGGAGACAGTTTCTCTGTCCTTTCCCGAACGAATAAACAAAGCCATAACTTTGAAGAGGAGAGATCGGGAAAACGAAAGAAGCTCCCATCCATTTTTAATAACCAGTGGAGAAAGATGTTGGGGCAGGGCGAAAGAAGAACAGGTAATCAGGAAAAAACCGTTACATTCCAGGCAGATAACGATTCTGTTATTCTGAGCTCTCCAGAGGGCGTACTTTCAATAAACGTACACTCAGCAGTATAAAATTTCGATATAATTTATTCTCCACGCGTTATATTTACATTTATCATTTTTAAACGTGACATTCTCTTTCAACAAAACCAAATATAATATGAAAATATATTTCACCTTTTTTTTCAAATATTTCTTTGATTATATAAACTGATAAATAAAGATATTGTCTTTGAATAAATGTGTTAAAATATGAAAAGAAATTTTTTGAATTGAGGCTTTGAGAGTTTTGGTTTTGTTTTTTACAAACAGTATTAAATATTTTGATGTTTCCTAAAACTTGAGAGATGGAGATTAGCATGTAGATTTCAAATAAGGCTTTGGTAATATTATGATAACAATATTGTTGTAGAACGACACTTTGGTGATATCATGGTAATACTGTTGTCGTTAATATATTAATCCAGGGTATTTTGTTGTAATGACATCAGCATTGTTGTGAATAAGTGGTGTAATTACATTTTAAGAATCTTCGTTAATCATTCTGTAAATAAATAAAAAAAATATTTATAATGATGTGCTGATAGAATGTCAAAACAGTTGTGTTAAGTCAATAAATTATGGCTTATGATGACGTGGTAATGACGTATAGTATGAGATCATTGGACGTTTTATACATAAGTTGTGCTATGAACTTAATGTTATCAATATGTTTAATGCACGTGAAAACGTTATCCTCGCAAGTCAAGTTTATCATGTAAAGAAAACCAAAATAATTTCCAACAAAACAATGAGAAGTGTATATAAACCAATTATAATACGTGTTAGTAATTAAAACTTTACCGTAATGAATGAAAGTTTACGTCAAAATAAGACAGAAAAAAAACCGCACACACACATATGTGTGTGTGTAATAGTAGTAACAGTAAAGCAAATAATTTCGCATATTAGTCCCTAAAGAAGAGTAGTTTAACTGAAGCTAAACTTTGGTTTTTATTAGCTTGCTGAATCAACTTACTTTCGCATGATTGAATGGAAATCTTTTTATACTTACATTTTCAATCTTAATGGGGTATTTACGTTTGTTTGAAGTTCATATCTTGTCTTAAAGTCTTGATGAACAAAGTTTGTTTAACCCTAAGTACCCTCTTACTATATTCATCAAGACTTTAAGACCAGAGCTGAACTTAAACCAAACTTCAGTACTATTAGGATGTCAGTATAAAAATGGTTCTATTGAATCGCGCGAAAATATCTGTACATACACCATATATCCCCCCCCCTCTCTTCGACTTAAGTATGTGTACTATTGAGTCTGCTTTCAAGTATTCAGTAACAGGGATATTTATGGTTTATACCTTGATGTTTCTCTATACAGCTCACAGTTGTTTGATAAAACTGTCAAGTAGTAAATACGATAATTTCTGGTGAACGTACAATATTTGGTTAGTGTTCTTTTGTGTGTACATCAGCTTTTGGAACTGCATCTTACATAATCTAAAATAAAAGGAAAACGAAAAACATGCATAGCTGGTCAAAACATCGTTGTCAAAATGTTTATGCCCGTCTTTAGACCTGTCGATTCACTAGGAATGTAATATTAATACATCTAATCTGAGAGGGCATATTCAACTTACATATAAGGTGTTTTTTGTTGGTTTATACTCACCACAGTAAACTAGTATTTATATAGGTTTCGAAGAATGAGTAACCTTGATTCTACTAATGCTACCGGTATAACTCAGTGACAAGAGGTGAATCGAATGATAGGCTGGATTTCATAGATATTTTAATATCAAATTTATTTGTAGCTAGAAAATTAAACGGACATAGATTTAATACTTACAGCGATGACGTGGTCATCGGATATCAGTGGACACAGGTAATTAGGGTAATGACCCAGTGATCGGATATCAGTCAACTTATAGATTTAGGTAATCAGAGTAATAACGTGGTGATCGGATATCAGTCAACTTATAGATTTAGGTAATCAGAGTAATAACGTGGTGATCGGATATCAGTTGATACATTGATGTAGATACAGTAATGACTTAATGATCGGATATCAGTCAACTCAAAGATTTAGGTAATCAGGGTAATGACCCAGTGATCGTATATCAGTCAACTTATAGATTTAGGTAATCGGGGTAATGACCCAGTGATCGGATATCAGTCAACTCATATATTTAGGTAATTAGGGTAATGACTTAGTGATCGATTATCAGTCAACTTATAGATTTAGGTAATCAGAGTAATAACGTGGTGATCGGATATCAGTTGACACATTGATGTAGATACAGTAATGACTTAATGATCGGATATCAGTCAACTCAAAGATTTAGGTAATCAGGGTAATGACCCAGTGATCGGATATCAGTCAACTCATAGATTTAGGTAATCGGGGTAATGACCCAGTGATCGGATATCAGTCATCTTATAGATTTAGGTAATCAGAGTAATAACGTGGTGATCGGATATCAGTTGACACATTGATGTAGATACAGTAATGACTTAATGATCGGATATCAGTCAACTTATAGATTTAGGTAATCGGGGTATTGACCCAGTAATCGGATATCAGTCAACTAATAGATTTAGGTAATCAGGGTAATGACCCAGTGATCGGATATCAGTCAACTCATAGATTTAGGTAATTAGGGTAATGACCCAGTGATCGGGTATCAGTCAACTTATAGATTTAGGTAATCGGGGTAATGACCCAGTGATCGGATATCAGTCAACTCATAGATTTAGGTAATCGGGGTAATGACCCAGTGATCGGATATCAGTAGACACAGGTAATTAGGGTAATGACCCAGTGATCGGATATCAGTCAACTCATAGATTTAGGTAATTAGGGTAATGACCCAGTGATCGGATATCAGTCAACTCATATATTTAGGTAATTAGGGTAATGACCCAGTGATCGGATATCAGTCAACTTATAGATTTAGGTAATCGGGGTAATGACCCAGTGATCGGATATCAGTCAACTTATAGATTTAGGTAATCAGGGTAATGACCCAGTGATCGGATATCAGTCAACTCATATATTTAGGTAATTAGGGTAATGACCCAGTGATCGGATATCAGTCGACTCAAAGATTTAGGTGCTTACAGTGATGATACAGTGATTGGATATCAGTTGACACTTAGATTTAGGTACTTATGGTAATGACGTCGTAATTAGATATAAGTCGATACACTGTTTAAGCACTTACAGTAATGACCTAGTAATCGCATATCAGTTGGCACATATATTTAAGCATTTACGGTGATGACGTGGAGACCGAATAGCAGTCGACGCACAGGTTTAAGTATTTAATGGTACAACGTGCTGATCGGATATCAGTTGACATATATATTTAGGTACTTATGATATAACGTGCTGATCGGATATCAGTTGACACATAGATTTAGGTACTTATGATATAACGTGCTGATCGGATATCAGTTGACACGTAGATTTAGATACTTATGGTATAACGTGCTGATCGGATATCAGTTGACACATAGATTTAGGTACTTATGGTATAACGTGCTGATCGTATATCAGTTTACACGTAGATTTAGGTACTTATGGTATAACGTGCTGATCGGATATCAGTTGACACGTAGATTTAGGTACTTATGGTATAACGTGCTGATCGGAAATCAGTTGACACATAGATTTAGGTACTTATGGTATAACGTGCTGATCGGATATCAGTTGACACATAGATTTAGGTACTTATGGTATAACGTGCTGATCGGATATTAGTTGACACATAGATTTAGGTACTTATGGTATAACGTGCTGATCGGATATCAGTTGACACATAGATTTAGGTACTTATGGTATAACGTGCTGATCGGATATTAGTTGACACATAGATTTAGGTACTTATGGTATAACGTGCTGATCGGATATCAGATGACACGTAGATTTAG